TTATCTACCTTTCTTTTTGTATCTACATTCCTAAGTATCTGTCTATGCCTAAAAAAAAATAATGAATAAAAATAATAAACAAAGGCTGGGAATATAACTTTTTAAGAAAAACTCTAAATTAAAGCCACAAAATAAACCTGAAGGAACCAGAAAATTACTATGACAATTGATTCGAAAGTGCAAAGATCTGAAAGAGTTAAATCCAACAATCTATACTACTTTTCTCTTCCATATAGTTCTAGAAATATAAGCACAGCAGATCAAGATGATAAGAAGTACAGCAAAAAGTTGAGCAGAGAGCTATAGTTATCAAGAGCTTTCAAAGTTTCATGAAGTACACATCAGAGGAGTTTCTAGATTGCCCAGCAACCACAACATAAATATCTAAGACCTAGAATGAAAAATTCATAGAAGTAAGTCTTATGCTCTATGTTGGGGCCATCAAATTATAGCTGAAGATTTGTTATTTAGGTGGACAGGGTAAAAATTATTCTTACATTTTCAATTGGAGGAGGAGGAAGAAGGAACAATAACTACTACTACCACAACAACATGATGACATACTGTCTATGACCTGTCAAGTCTAAAATAGTAATGATGGCTTTTATTTATTTATTTGTTCTTTTTGGATATATAGGATAGTACAGAGAATGTTAACATCATACATATATAAGTATAGCTTATTCTAATTAGGATCCCAGTCTTTCAGTTGTAAATGATGTGGCATTTCAGTGGTTGCACATTCATATATGAGAGCAAAGGGAAGATAGGTCCCATTTATTCTACTGTCTTTCTTATTCCCATCCCCTATTCTGTCCCTTAATAACCCTTTGTCTAACCCAATGAACATCTATTCTTCTCTCCCTCCCCTGCATTGTGTGTTAGCATCCACAGAGAGAACTTTTGCCCTTAGCTTTTTGAGAAGTCGCTTATTTCACTTAGCATGATAGTATACAGTTCATCCATTTACCTGAAAATAACATGATTTTATTCTCTTTTAATGCTTAATAATATTCCATTGTGCATATATACCATATTTTCTTTATTCATTCATTTACTGAAGGGCATCTAGGTTGGCTCCACTATTTAGCTATTGTGAATTGTGCTGCTATAAACATTGATGTGGCTGTGTCCCTGTAATATGCTGTTTTTAAGTCTTTTGGGTATAAACTGAGAAGGATAGCTGGGTCAAATGGTGGTTCCATTCCCAGTTTTCCAAGGAATCTCCATACTGCTTTCCATATTGACTGCACAAATTTGCAGTCCCACCAGCAATGTATGAGTGTACCTTTTCTCCAACATCCTCGCCAACTCTTATTGTTGTCTTCATAATAGCTGCCATTCTGACTGGAGTGAGATGATAATTTTGATTTGCATTTCTCTAATTGCAAGCAATGATGAACATCTTTTCATATATTTGTTGATTGATTTTATATCCTTTTCTGAGAAATGCCTATTCAGGTCTTTGGCCCATTATTATTTTTTGGTGCTTAGCTTTTTGAGTTCTTTATATACCCTAGAGATTATTGCTCTATCTGATGTGTGAGGGGTAAAAATTTGTCTTTCAGCTGATTCATCATTTGTATAGAGAAATGCAATTAGTTTATGTTGTTGATTTTATATCCTGCTACTTTGCTGAACTTTTTTATGAGTTCTAGTTTTCTGGTGGAGTTTTTTTGGGTCTTCTAAATATATAAATTATGTTGTCAGCAAACAGGTTTAGCTCTTCTTTTCCTATTCATATCCCTTTAATTTCTTTCTTTTGCCTAATTGCTCTGGTTAGGATTTCAAGGACTATGTTGAATAGAAGTGGTGAAAGAGGGAATTCCTGTTTTGTTTTATATTTAGAGGAGAATGCTTTTAATTTTTCTCCATTTAGAATGATGTTGACCTTGTGTATTATGTATATTGAGGTATATTCCTACTATCCCTAGTTTTTCTAGGGCTTTGAGCATGTATAGATACTTAGTTTTATCAAATGCTTTTCTGCATCTATTGAGATAATCCTTTGGTTCTTGCCTATTGATGTGGTGAATTGTGTTTATTGATTTCTTATGTTGAACCAACTCTGCATCCCTGGAATGAACCACACTTGATCATGATGTGCTATCTTGTTAATGTTTTTGGTATGTGATTTGTCACTATTTTATTGAGATTTTTTTGCATTTATGTTCATCAGGGATATTGATCTGAAGTTTTCTTTCCTTGATGTGTCTGTCTTTTTTGGTATCAGAGTGATATTAGCTTCACAGAATGAGTTTTCTATTTCATGGAATAATTTGAGGAGTATTGGTGTTAAGTTCTTCTTTGAATGTCTGGTAGAATTCAGCTGAGGATCTATCTAGTCCTGGACTTTCCTTTATTGGTAAGCTTTTTGATGGCATTTTTAATTTCATTGCTAGAATTTCATCTTTTTAAATTTTTGATGTCCTCCTATTCAATTTGGGCAGGTCATATGTCTCTAGAAGTTGTTGTCTTCAAGAATTGCTATTTAATTATAGTATAAATTTTCAAAATAGTTTCTGATTATCATCTGTATTGGTAGTATTTTTCATCATGAATTTTAGAGTCTGTCTTTGGTTAGCTTGGCTAAGGGTTTATCGAGTTTATTTTTTTTTCAAAAATTCAAGTTTTTGTTTTGTTGATTTTTTAATTTTTTAATTGAATGCATTTTGGCTCTGATTTTAATTATTTCCTATCTTCTACTACTTTTGGTGTTGATTTGTTCCTCTTTTTCTAGGGCTTTGATATGTCATGTTAGGTTATTTTATTTGGTGACTTCCAATTCTTTTAATAAATGGGCTCATGCAATGAACTTTCCTCTTAGAACTGCCTTCATAATGCCAAGATATTTTGATATGTTGTGTCATTATTCTCATTTACTTTTAATTTTTTTATTTGTTTCCTGATTTCTTCTGCTCTCAACTGGTCATTCAATAACATATTATTTAGTCCTCATTGTTAGGGAGGCTTCTATTTTTTAATCATTGGTTTCTAATTGCATTCCATTATGATCTAATAGAAGGTAAGGTATTATCTCTATTTTCTGTATTTGCTAAGAGATGCTTTGTGGCCTAAAATATGATCTATTCTATTTTAGAGAAGGATATGTGTGCTGCTGAAAAGAAAGTATATTCAGTCATTGATGGATGAAATATTCTATATGTGTTTGGTAAGTCTAAATTATTAACTGTATTTTTTAGGTCTATTACTTCTTTATTTTTTGTTTGGATGAACTATCCAGTGATGAGAGAAACATGTTAAAGCCGTCCAGTAGTACTGTATTATGGTCTATTTGATTCTTGATATTGGAATCAAGGGTTTGTTTGATGTATGTAGATGCTTCATAATTTGGGGCATAACTATTTACAATGGCTATGTCCTGTTGATGTATAATCCTTTTAAGAAGTATGAAATGAGCTTCCTTGTCCCTTCTGATCAGCTTTGGCTTGAAGTCCACTTTATCAGATATGAAGATAGAAACCTCTGCTTATTTATGAAGAGCCACTAAATGATGTTTTTCACCATTCTTTTACCTTCAGTCTGTGGATGTCTTTGCCTATGAAGTGAGTCTCTTAGAGACAGCATATTGTCGGGTCTTAATTGATGAGTCTAGGTCATTTACATTCAATGTTATTATCGAGATATGATTTTTATTCCCTGTCATTTTGATTTTTTCTCATTTTTAAAATTTGAAGTAGCTTTTCCTTTGATTGACTATTCTTCTTGTGTAGTGCCTCCCTTTGCTGGTTTTCACTTTTACTTTTAATTTTGTCTTCATGAAATGTTTTATACTGCAGGCTTTCTAGTTGTGAATTCTTTTAACTTTTATAATGGAAAGTTTCATTTCATTGTCAATTCTGTAGCTTAAGTTTTCTGGGTACAGTATTCTTGGTAGGCATCCATTTTCTTTCAGAACTTGATATGTATTTGTCCAAGATCTCCTCCTAGCTTTTAGAGTGGAGAAATCAGCTGAGATCTGCATTAGTGTCCCTCTAAATATGACCTGTAGTTTTCCTCTGGCAGCATTTAAAATTCTATTCTTATTCTGAATGTTAGGCATTTTCATAATAATGTAGGTCTGTTGTAATTTTGTATATTTGGGGTCTTGTAAGCCTCCTGTATTTGATTTTACATTTCATCTCAAGGTTTGGGGAATTTTCTGATATTATGTCATTGAAAAGACTGTGTATTCCTCTGGTTTCTATCTCCAAGACTTCACCTATGTATTAGTCAGCTTTCTTTGCTGCTACAACTGAAAGGCCCAACCAGAACAACTCTACAGGAAGAAAGTTTATTTGAGGGCTCACAGTTTCAGAGGTCTCAGAGCATGGAAGTCTGGCTTCATTCCTTGGGGCTTGAGGAGAGGCAGAACATCATGACGGGACAGTGTGACAGAGGGAAGCAGCTCGCATCATGATCAGAAAGCAGAGACTCCACACTTACTAGGTACAAATATATACCCAAAGCCACACCCCAATGCCCACCTCCTCCATCTACATCCTACTACTTCAGTTACAACTCAGTTAATCCCTATCAGGGGATTAATGCAGTGATTGGGTTAAAACTCTTACAACCCAACTCTTTCTCTTCTGAACATTCTTGCACTTTCTTACATGTGTGATTTTTGGAGGACACCATATCTAAACCATAACAATCTATCTCAATAAATCTTACATTTAGTCATTTCATGTTGGAAATATCTTTTGGAAGCTTTGCCATGGCCTCTTAACATTTTTTCTCCAGTCAACTTTATTTTCAAGATTATATATTTTGTCTTCATTGCCAACTGGTCTAGTCTATTGAAGATGCTTCCATTGAATTTTTAATTTGGTTTATTGATTCCTTCATTTTGAGAATTTCTGCTTGTTTTTTTTCCAGAATCGCTTTCTCTTTATTGATCTTTCACTTTCTGTATTTTATGATTCCACTTCTTACCTCATCCTTTACCTCACACATCAGTTTAACTATGAACCTTCTAAATTCCTTCTCTGACATTTCTTCCACTGTGGTGTTGATGGAGTCTGTTACTGAAGTACTGTGGTTTGTTTGGGTGATTTTTTCCCTTGCTTTTTCATGTTGTTTGTGTGTCTACCATATAACTTTATGGATCTGAGGCAGTAGATTTACCCTGTGGATTAATAATATTCCTGAATAATTCCAGGACCTCACTATTTAGGGGGAGACAAATAATAACAACAAACAATACAAACAATGTATAGCATTAAACCAAGTAGTTTCTGCTATGACATACACAGTGTTAATTTTTACAATAAATAGAAACGATGTGATCAGTTACTGCCCACAGTAAAAACAGTAAGTTTGTAAAAGGGTTTACAATTTTTAATGGTGAATAGGGAAAGAACAGTAGTGATGTAGGATGTGATTGGTTGATGGAAGAGGGTAGAAAATAGAAGTAAAAAAAATTAAAGGAAGAGTGAAAAAACAATAGAGATTGGCTGACAGCAGAAGAAAGAAAGAAGGGAAATAGATAAGTGAGATAAAAAAATAAATAATACAAAACAAAACTGAAATATACTAATCAAACATCCTAGTTGATCAATCACAGTTCTTCTTCTGTGAAGTGTCTATTCAGTTCCTTTGCCCATTTATTATTTGTTTGTTTGTGTGTGTGTTAAGTTTTTTTGAGTTCTTAATATATCTGGAGATTAATGCTCAATCTGAACTGCAGGTGGAAAAGATTTTCTCCCATTCTGAGGGCTTCCTCTTCATGTTCTTGATTGTTTCCTTTGCTGTGAGTCTTTTTAGTTTGATACCACCCCATTTACTGCATAAATATTTCATCAGGGATATTGATTTACAGTTTTTCTTTATTACCATACCCTTGTTTTGTTCTGGGACCAGAGCAATGCAGACCCTTATTGAATAAGATTAAAAGTATTCACTTCTTTTCAATTTTGAGGAGTTTGAGGAAGACTGGTGTTCATTCCTCTTTAAATGGATAGTATAACTGGCCAATGATGCCATCTGATCTTTGGTTGTGTGTTGGTCAGCTGTGTGCTGATGTGACCAAAATACCTGTCTAGAACAGGTATTTTTAGTTGAGGAAAAATTTATTTTGGACTCCCAGTTTCAGAGATTCAGTCTGTAGTCAGCTGACTCCATTGCTCTAGGCCCAAGATTAGGCACAACATGGTAGAAGGGTGTGGCCAAGGGAAAGCTGCTCTGCTTGCAGAGGAAGGGGCCACAGGGAAGATGAACGCTTTCAGGGTAAGCCCCCAGTAACCCACCTTCTTCAGCCACATTCCATCTGCCCACAATTACCACCCAGTAGTCCCTTCAATCTAGTATGGACTGATGAGGTTACAATTCTCACAATCCAATCATTTCAGTTCCAAACACTCTTGCATCCACAGAGGAGCTTTTGGGGGGACACCTCATATCCAAAAATAACAGTTACCTTCCACTATGATTATTTTAAAATCCAGATGGAAAGCTGAACATCACTCCATAACAAGGCTGCTTCTAATTGGGAGAAAATTTTGATTACTGATTCAATCCTTATCAGTTATAGTTTATTGAGACTTTATATTTCTTCATTGCTTAAGTCTTGGTAACTTGTGCATTACTAGAAATTTGTCCAATTTATATAGTTTATCTTATCATTTTTTGATGTACAATTTTTCAGAGTATTCTAATATAATCCTTTTATTTTGTAAGATTAGAAGTAATGTCCTTCCATTTCTGATTGTTGAGTCTTCTTCTTTTTTTTCCTTTTTAAAATATGTGTCTCAAATTTCTTGATCTTTAAAAAAAATCTTTGGTTTTGTTGACCTTTTTCCTCTTGTTTTCCTAGTCTTTTTGGTTCTCTCTACTTCAACCTTTATTATTTCCTTCCTTATGCTAGCTTAGGGCTTAGTTTGTTCTTCTAATTACTTTGTTTGTAAGGTTAGGTTTGCTGATTTGAGAGCTTTCCTCTTTTTTAAATTTAAGTATTTTTAAATTAGAACTGCTTTGGCTACATTCCACAAGTTTGGATATCGCATGTCTTTATTTTCACTTAAGAAGTTTTTTCCCTTACAATTTTGTCTTTTACCCTACGATTAAATGTGTGCTGTTTATTTTTATTACATGTGTAAATTTTCTGAATTTCTTAATGTTATTGATTTCTAGTTTCATTCCATTGTGGACACAAAAGATACTTGATATTATTTCAATTTCTCTTTAAGACTTTTTTGTGGCACAACACTTAGTTTATATTGAGTAACATTCCTCATGCACATGAGAATATACATATGTCCTGCTATAGTTGATTGGACATTTCTGCATATGTCTGTTAGGTACATTTGGTCTGTCTGCTGTTCATACGTCTACTACTAAAAGTGGGACTATTATTGAAAGTCTCCTACTATTACTGTAGAGTTACTTTTCCTTTCAGTCTATCAATGTTACTTGATATATATTCTGATATCAAGAATGACATTTATGATTATTATATTTTCCCCCTTTAATCACTATCTAATGTTCTTTATAACAGTTTTGAGTTAAAGTCTACTCTAGTATTAGTAGAGTAGATCTGTTCTCTGTGGTTCTATTCACATGTGCCATCTTTTTACTTGTAGCCTTCACGTGTTCTGAACTCTACAATCTCTTTGTGGACAGCATATTTGGCTTCTGTTTTTTATGCAGCCTGCCAATATGTGTCTTTTAATTGGAAAATAATTTTTTTGTATTGGGATTGAATCCAGGGATACTTTACCACTGAGCTACATCCCTAGTCCTTTTAACGTTTTAAATTTTGAAACAGAGACTCACTAAGTTGCTGAGACTGGCCTAGAACTTGAGATCCTCGTGACTCAGCTTCCAAGTCACAGGGATTACAGGTGTGCACTACTGCATTTCGCTTAAATGGAAATTTTAATACATTTACATTTATAGTAATTCTAATAAAGAATAACAATTTCTATTTTGTTGCATGTCTTAATTTTTCTTGATCCTTATATTCTTCTTTACTGCTTTTCTCCTGATATGTTTTGATTCCCTTTTCATTTCTTTTTGTGTATCCTTTATAGATGTTTTCTTTCTGTTTACCAAGAGTATTACATATAGCATCCTGTATTTTAAACTGATACTAAATTAACTTCAATCACATATAGAAACAAAAATTCTACTCCTTCACAGTTCTGTCCCTTCTCCTTGCTGCTGACATACAAACTACCCCTTCACATACTGCAGGTCCACTAACCCTTTCTCTCTCATTCTGAATGACACTTTTGCTGGATAGAATTCCTGGCTGACACATTTAAAAGTATTTTTCAGCATGTTAAATTCATCCCACTGACTTTTGACCTGAAGGACTTTTGCTGAAAAATCTGTTAATTTTATTGAGAACCTTTTGTTTGTGATGAGGCCATTTACTCTTGCCATTTCGAAAATTCTCTGTGTGGGTCTTTTTGAACTTGTTCTACTTGGAGTTTATTTAGCTTCTTGTGTTAGTATCTCAATATACACCAAGTATATCTTCTGATCTTTTGATGAAAATTAGGTATTTTCAAAAGCAACCTCTCTCCCAGCCTTTGCTGACTACATCCATGCAGGCAAATAACTTCACTAATTAGACCAAAATTAAGGCTTCAATTGTTCTCAGACCTTTCTGGATATGTTCTTCTTGAAAGGCACCTCTGTCACACACTCCACCACCAATTTCCCAGTATTGGCTGCCTCTAAATATCTTAGTTCCCCTCTAAGTCTCACCTTTGCTCCTTTGTAGAGCCTTAAATGTTCTACTGTGTTCTGCTGCTAACATCTCCCGCCAGTTACATGTCACAAGTGTGCCTTGCCAGGTGGGGTGGGGCAAGAATGAGCAAAAGTGCCACACAAGTTTTTTAGTGTCTTTAAAAAATTGAGTAGGACCCTTGAATGGCCTCCAGAACGTCTGTAAAATTGTTCTTAGTCTGCTGTTGTTTACCTAGTATTTTTGTAGTGGGATGAATACACAGAGCTTCCTAATCCACCATCTTGTGAAAAAAAAAAAAAACTGCCTGATTTTAAATTAAGACAAGTCCAAGGTACTCAAAGAATAAACAAAGAGAAATATTTAACTGGATAATCTTATTACTGATGTATGTTTGAAGCATAGTTTTTAAAATTTTTATGAGTAATATAATGCAGTAAAAAAGAATTACATTATGAATCAGAGAAATTCATTTTCTTTCTCTTCTATTCCCTGTTCTCTTCTGAACAACTATTTGATTTTTGATTAATAAGCACTCATCTATAGTGCTCTTGTAATGAGAGAGGAAAGGGGATATATGATTTATTGACAGTTTTTATGCCACCCAGTATGATGTATTGGTTGTAAAGTCCGGATAGTGGTATAAGTAACATCCAGTATTTCCAAAAGCAATTTCATTTCTCACAATAAAACCTAAATGGATATGTTCTTCTTGAAAGGCACCCCCGCCATACACTCCACCACCAATTTACCAGTATTGGCTGCCTCTAAACTGCACAGGTTATATAATTACCTAAAGTAATGTTGTAAATAAAAGCAATGGCTGAGATAAATAAAAATAAAGTATCTGGCAGGAAATAACCTATCTTGGAAGAGGATACAGTTGTTTCCTACAGAAATGATTTAACCTAGCAAGTGGTTGAGATAGTAGCCTCTAGCTAGGCAGCCTGAACATTCATTCCCTGCTCTAATATGTACTAGATACATGATTTGGGACAACTTACTGAATACTTTCGAATCCCAATGTCTTCCACTTTAGCAAATGTGGTTATCAAAATTTAGATCATTCAGGTATTTAGAAAAGCTCTTGCCAAAAGCATGTATTCAATACTTGCTTGAAAGATGATTCTTGCATCAGATTTGGCTGCCTTCGTGAGATTGGCTACTATCAAAAAATAAATAATCAAGTACCTCAATATTCCAGTTGAGTCCTTTCTTGTAAAGTAATACAAGCTGGTCTTCATTTACTAGCAGTCTTTATTTTTAAAGAGCCTTACCTTGTACTTCTTTAAGTTTTTGTTTCTTATCCGTTAGTATGATCTCAAGATTTTTTTTAAAATTCTCAGTTAAATTAGAACTTCCAGAAACTGAGAAAGGCACAATGGTTTCACCATATTGTTCTAAATCCATTTCCCTGGCAGGCTCATCCAGTGTTGCTGGAATAGTCCTCCTTCTCATCTGAAGATACATGAAACCCACAAGTGCCCCGATTTGAAGCAATAATATTTTCCAGTTGCGCCAATTGAATCCTGCCCGCTTTAAGAGCATGGCATGGAACTGTTGCTTGTGAAGAGCCAACTGTAAGAGGAGAGAAAGGTGACATTACAGAGATCACGGATCCGCATGGAATGTTTCAAATCTTAAGAGATGTACACACTTTGTATACACATATACCTGGGGAGAAGGTGAACGTTGTTTGTAGACTACTTAACAAGTAAAATTTACTCTCTGTATAATGTGTTCATTAAAAGGACTGGCTTGGCTCCTAACCTAATTATAACAAAAGTCTCAAAAGGATGATTTTTATCTATCTTTAATGTATTATTAACATTCTCTTGCACAGAACAATACATCTATCTTTCTTCATATTAAACCACTATCTGTCAATCATATCTTCATTTTGTAAAGGAAACATTCACAGGCAATGTGCATGTGCATACATAACAGGTTTCTATTATCTGGTTTTAATCTATGTGATCAACAGGATTGTGGCAAGTTAGGAAAAAGAGGAGAAGTTTATTTTGAAATTGCAATATGCTCAATATGTTTTTTCCAGCCTCTAATTTTAAAATAATGAGGGTGATCATTAATATTTTAAAAATGTGCATAAATATACAGCTTTCCTCCAGACTTTGGGGGCAATACATAGTTGATTGTGTATGTTTTCAGATTGACAATGGAACCCCTTGTTTCAAATGTAGAGACTTAATTTGAAAATGTCAAAAAGTTAAAGAAAAACATATTAAGCATATTTCATGACTAGATAACCAATGGTCTAGAAACATTATTATCCTATTTCCCTCAATATTTGAATATCCCATGAATGATACAAAGTGAGAAAACATCCCTAATTAATCAACCAATATATTCTGAATAAAATGAGCAGCCTTGAGGCCATCTCTGACTAGAAATAAGTCAAGAAGGAGAATCCTCTCACTTTGTGTTCATGGTAGGAAAAAAGTGACTTCTAGCTTTTAAAAGACTGTTTATTAAGATATATTCCTAGAACTAAAAATGTGTCGAGGAATCAACTACTTTTCTAGACTGATCTGCCAAACTGTCAATCATCTGCATGTTTCAAGAGGGGGAAACAGGGAAGAATGCCAGAGGAGTAGAAATGTATAAGTGGGGAAAGGGGGAAATGACAATTCCTAAGTACCCAATTCATGTCAAACATTGTACAGTTCACAATTAGTATTTTTAACTCATTGAAATAGTCTCAAACAGAATGAAATTGAAGCTCAGAAGTACTAAATGTCTTTGCCAAGGACAAATGGCCTGTAAATGATAGAGCAGGGAGTATAGTTCTGTCTAGCTCAAAATTCCACACTTTCAGTTGGGTATGATGGCACATGACTATAACCCCAGTGGCTCAGGAGGCTTAGGCAGGAGGACAACAAGGCCAGCCTCGGCAACTTGGCGAGGCCCTAAGCAACTTAGACTCTGTCTCAAAATAAAAATTTTTAAAAAAAGGGCTGAAATGTGGCTCAGTGGTTATGTGTCCCTGAGTTCAATTCCTGGTACAAAAAAAAAAAATTCCACACTCCCTTGCATTACCCGCTTTGCTTCACAACTGGCTCATAAGCCCCACAGTGAAGACATGCCTAATAAGCACCTTGGACAAATGTATTCTCTTCCTCAGAACGCCTCATCAAAAATAAAAAAACCAAAAAATTGGAAGGAAGAGAAATTAGGAGACCAAGATAAATGCTAGGCACTTCAGTGAGAATTCCCACACTGGTGAAGGAATATGATAAATTGGAAATAGTTCTTAGGCAGTTACAATGCAGTCCAATGCATAAATTTAAATGTCTTCTATGTGTGTGAATAGGGATGTGAAAAGCAAATTTTAACAGGACCCTTTTTTCAACTCAGAATGAACTAACAATTATGAAAACTGACATAAGAAATATCCTAAGGAATAACAATGGTGAAAATAAAATCTGATTTTTGCCTATAGTATTTTATATTTGAAGTAGAAAAAATTAATGAGATTACTTTACAAATTGTTCCCTACATTATTGGGCTTTCTATAACACGAATTCTAAACTCAAGATCCTGAGTTAAAATATTTTAATGAAGTGTACTTCTTTTATTCTGTCATTATATTCTTAGTGAAGATGCTCACCCCAGTATTAAATGATGTATCAGAATTTTTATTCGTGTCAGATACAGATCTTTCAGAATTTCTGGATGCATTCACATTCTGATTGTTTTCATTTGTATTTGTGGTTGGTTCGGAAGACATCTGGAGAACCTCCTCATTCACTTTGTAGTTTGCCTGATTACTGACCCTACACACACACACACACACACACACACACACACACACACACAGAGAGAGAGAGAGAAACACACACACACACACACACACAAATAGATAAGAAATTATAATAATTTTAACCAGAACAGTGGTTCCCAAATACCCAATCCATCAAAGATTTTCACAAATTGAAGCAAACATTTTTTAATGATGATTATGCAATGTTAACATCAATGACAGTAAAATTTACTTTTCTTTTTTTGTGCGTGTGTGCGTGCGTGCGTATATGTTACTGGAGAATGAACTCAGGGCCTCAGGCATCTTGGGCAAGTTCTTTGACCACTGAGATATACTCCCCCCACCCCCCAATGGATAAAATAAACAACTTAGTCAAGTAAAAGATCTAAGACATTATCCTTTTGTTTTGAGAAGACAGTGGTTGTTAAATCTATATTCTAAGAAATAATAATAATATTTACAGATTTTATTTTTATTATATTTTAAGCTTATATTAGTGCCATAGATTTATTTTCTCAATTTCCTAGTCCAATCTAATCTGGGTTAGTTTATCCAGCAAGTGAGCACATGGTTAATTTGTCCTCTGTGGGTTTACAACTCCATGGAAGAAACTGACAGGTATAATTAAACAGGGTAATATAATTCATAGTATAATAGGAGATTAAGTCCCCCATAGTAATTGATAGCATTAAAGACTTACATGGGCTTTTTATTTAGTAAGGAGTAAGGAGGTTAGATGTTTGTCTCTAACCTCCTTACTCGGTGTGTTTCAAATATTTATATACTTGTAGGAAGTTTTGCTCTGCCCTTTTTCATTATTATTACTTACTTGAAGAAAACTTCTTCCAAGGTAGTCATAGAAATACCAAAGCCAGCGATGCCCAGCTCTGTCTTTCTTTGTTCTATTTCCAAAAACAGGTCTTCAAAACTAGAATAAATAGAAGCAAAGAAAGAGCTACCAGTAAAACAGATTATTCTACTTATATATTTTTTGTTCTTGGCACTGGAAAAAATACATCTTATTTCTTAATGAAATGGTAGTTTCCATGCCCCACTAACAAACCATAAAAATATGGAACATGTGAAGAAAACAAAACAAAACAAAAACACTAGCAAATTGCTGTATCAAACTGCTACCTGAATTTCTGGTAAAATTATCAACTGACATTTTATATATTAATGTTCACTGGTAGTTAAGATTTGATTTATTTAATGTAGGGCATTATTCCCATGAAACACACTAAATCAAGATATGTAGATAAAATTTTGGGACTGGGAGAAAACTGTCCACTCATATAACCAGGGAAGGTATATAAGGTTGGACAGTTATAATGTGATGGTATAAAGCTTATGAAAAATAGTTTTTCTGAGATTTTATATTTAGATGTTTAATCACTCCAAAAATCCTTCAGTTTATGAACCCAACCACATGAGGACAGAAAATTCTCCATTTTGGAAGTTTCTGTCAAAATTTTCTCTATATTTTGAGCCCAAATTAGATTCTATTCCCTCTATTTCATGATTAGAATGAAAAGTTTCTGTATATTATTTTCTACATGTCTCAAGATTAACAAGCGTACATACACATACATCAGTATAGCAGTGTACAATAAACCCAAGAAAGATTATGTGATCCTTTCACTTTTTAGTTCAATCATTATTATAATGAGAAACTTTTATGTTTCTATGCATATAGGTTAAACAGCAAACTCCAAACTGGAGAGATCAGGAAAAAAACCCACAAAATTTACAACAAATTAGTCAATCATTATTATTGCCATAGCCATTCTCCTGATTAAAACATAATAAATGCAGACCACACAGATAATATAAATGTGTAAATAAAATAAAAATAATCCTACCACCCAGACAAGACACTACCATTAAAAATTTGGTATACTTATTTTACCTTTTTTTTTACTTTATGTTTGCATTTTACACATTGGAATCATATATTAAAGAATTATGCACCCAAATTTAACAATATGGATATTTTCCTAAAATGTTGAAAACTGTTCATACTCCATCCATATCAATGTTGTATAATTTCATTATTATAATAATGAGATGTATAATATCATTTACTAATTCAGCAAACAATCATGGACAAATTCTCTTAGTGAGAAATCAGAAGCTAATTGAAAGGCTCCTATACTTTAGGAGAATGTGAAGCCAAACTTATCAAAACTGGTGAAGCAATTCAGAACACCATGCTGTATGTACCTCCAGAAGTGTGCTCCCAAATTTGAGGAATATAAACATCCAAGAAACTCAATGAATTCCAAGTAAGATGAACTCAAAAGAGATATACAAATAGACATGTAAAATCATATGGTCAAAAATCAAGAAATAGAAGACACTAGAGTATGGACTCTCGACGTTCATGGATACACAGAATTAATATTATTAAAATGGCCATATTACTGAAAGTTAAAAACAGATTCAATGAAATGCCCATAAAAATACCAAATTACATTTTAAATAGTCCTAAAATTCATGTAAAAGAAGAAAATACCCAGAATAACCAAAGTAATTCTGAGCAATAAGAGAAATGGTTGAGCCATCATATACCTGAATTCAAAATATACTGCCAAGCCATAGAAATTAAAATGGCATGGTACTGGTATAAAAACAGATATTTAGAACAATTGGAATATAATCAAAGACAGAGAGACCAACCCACACAGATACAGTCATTTGATGCTTAACAAAGGTGCCCCAAACATACACTAAGGAAAAGACTTTTTAACAAGTGGTATTGGGAAAACTGGACACACATATGGAGAAGAATTAAAAAAGACCCCTCCCTATCTCTCACCCTGTAGTAAAGTCAACTAAAAATTAATCAAAAGCCTAGGAATTAGACCTGAAACTTTGCAAGTGCTAGAAGAAAATATAGATGCAGGCAATAATTTCATCAGTAGGACTCCAATAGTCCAGAAAATACCAAGAATCAATAAATGAAATAATATCAAATTAAAAAGCTTCTGCAC